GAGCTGTTCTTTACATCTATCAAGAACTTTCAGATCCGCCTGCGAGGGCACGAAAGCCGCGAGGCCCGTGGTCAGCATGCTGGTAACGGAGCCCTGGAACAATATGCGGGCCCACCTGCGAGGGCCATTGTCGTGCCAAAACTTGCCATAAGCGGCGTACGCAGCGCGAGCCGCAGCAACCCTGCGAACCCTTTCAACTCCAAGAGAACCGTCAAACGCCAAGTGGGGGCCGAGATAACGTGCGGCGCCAGAAACTGCACCAGCCAAGATTCCAGGCACGCGGTGGACGATCCGCTGGTACGCGTCCGCCCTCTTCCCGACGAAATGCGGCAGCGACACGAGCTTGCCATCGTTGGCTGCGTAGCTGCGTGCTGCGGCATGCCGCTTGTAGATGGTGTACGTGCCGTGGCTTTTTTCCGGTTGGCGTCTACAGGGTTCGTTACGGGGTAGGTGCGCTGCGAATCGTCTGCGTAGCTAGCCAAAGACACTTCGCAACCTTGGGCATGGTCACCGATGGCAGTGTGAAGCCAGGGGCACGTGGCCGTGACTGCGGTTGACCGCGTGCCAGCAAGCGCGAGGTCCAAGACAGTGTGGAACGGCGCGAGAAACCATTGCGATGAAATCGTGCATCCTGGCAGCGCCCCTTGCCGCAGGCTCATGCATAGAAGCTGTCTGTTGGGAAACTCGAAAAACATGGTGGCGCATTCGAGACGTTGCTGCAGATAGTCCCGTGCAAGCTGCGGTGTTTGGCAGTCCTCCCAAAGATAGTGCTGAAGATCGCGGTGTTCGCAACATGCGAAAGCGTTCGTGAGATCATAGAAGTCGGTATTGCAGGAAATGCCCGCTGTCGCCATACGGTGCCTCAGAAGCTCCACGGTCATGATGGCTGCCTCTCGGCGTTTCCCCTTCGAATAGCCGTGCGCGTAACGGCGATCAAAGGTATGTCCGATCTCCTGCCAGAGCCAGCGGTAGAAGCGGCCACCGTAAACATCAAGATTGTGGAGCAGGCGAGGCTCACCACTGGGCTTCGCAACGGTGAACGCAGACGTCACATGCCAGCAGGCCGGTGCTAGCCTGGTGCGTACCATGATCTTGTGCAGAAGGTAGCGCAAGCTGTTGAACTTAGCAGCTCGTAGCTCTTGCGGGGCAGCTCCGAGACCAGCGCGCCGTAGAGGCTCAAAGCGACCTGGCACGGTGGCCATGCGCCACAAGGCCACTGGAGCCGACCACCAGGGGCAGGTCTTGCGCAGCGGGCTCTTCCACAGCTCCCTGCGGGTACCTTTGAACTGCGCCTCGGTCAGCTCCTGGACCTCCAGCTCGGAAGGCGGAGGTTCAGACACCCGACGGCGCCCAGCTACAGCGTGCAAATCAATATGAACAGCAGAATGCCCTCCTTCAGCGCCAGGTTTGGAAAGTTTCGCAGCCCATTCGCCCGGGTCGAGCGCGGAGGGGCCGGGAGCCCAAAGCCTGCGCCTCTTGGCCCCGAGGCCCTTGCCCGAGAGGAGACGGGTCAGTCGGTAGGCGAGAGAGAAATCATGACGATCCAGCGCGTCTTTTAAATCCTCCCTCCACGCGGCCCTCTTTCTCCTGTACTCACTGCGCCGATGCCGGCGGATGGTCTGCGAGCACTTGTGGATATCTGCGTACAGCGACTGTGCGTGCTCGAACGTGCAGCCGAGAGCCACCAGCCGCCGGGCAGCTGCTCTCGTGTCTCGTGCATGTCGGACTGGTGCGGGCCCTGGGGCGCGTGTGTTAGGAGGAGTCTGGAGGAGGAGGAGGAGGAGGAGGAGGAGGAGGAGGAGGAGGAGGAGGAGGAGGAGAGGAGGAAACGAGGGAGTAGTAGGAGGAGGAGGAGGAGGGCGGGAGGAGGGAGGAGGAGAAGGAGGAGGAGAACCAGGAGGAGGAGGAGGAGAAAACGAAGGAACGAACTTTAATGTGCTGATTGTGACGTGATGAAGCCTTTTACGTTTTGCTGTACCTGTTTGCGCCTGGATTCTTGTATGCCTGCGAGAAGGACACGGTATGTTTTGTAGCTGCGCACAAAGCAGTGGGATTTTACCGACGTCCATGCGTCTCCGTGGCTGTAGGTGTCCCACTTCGCCTCTGTCGCCCTTGTCATTGACGGTGAGAAATTTGTAAGACATGACTCACCGCAGGGCTGGTCCAAGACATTACGGTGACTTGCACGTTGCCCAAATTGTGCCCCAAACTGTGCCCAACAACGCACGTCTGTTATTCAGTTCACATGCGGTGTGTTTCGCGATAGCCTTCCTTGTTTGCCCGATACCCTCGTGGCCCCTTCCCTTGTTTGCCCGATCTATTTCTGGTTTTCTATTCTCGTTCGCCCAATACCTTCAAGGCACTCTCTCAAGGCCCCTCGGGATCCGTCCTTGCGACGCGAAGCCGTTGCGACACGGCGCCAGCACGACGCGCCACAGCGCTGCACCGACACAAGAATCTTGCAATGCAACGTTCGGATACCTGGACACGTGCCCGGAATGGACCCTGTGTGCTCAAAACAGAGCCCGTACGGTGCCCAGAATGGATGCCTGAAATTGGCCGGCCGCGTGTCCAAAAATGTACCCCAAAAAAACCACGTTGGACCGCCCAAAAAAGCTCGGTGCCCATAAATGCGACCCACGTGAGAACGGGCAAACGGCGCGGAACATCCTCGCATCCGGGCCAACTTTGGGCACAACGCAACTCCAAAAAGCGCTTTGGGCACCACTTTGGGCACCATGCTGGGCATGGCGGGACCCCTTACAGCAACACCCGACTCCACCTCCGCCTAAAGCCGCGGGTGCCCCGTTGCTTTGCCTGCTCGGCGACCGCGCACCTAGAGAATTCAGAGGGCACTCTGATGGAGAGGGGCTGGTAGAAGCGGCGGTGTCTGCGGGAATAGTCTCGTCACCAAAGGATCCAGCAAATCCAACACGTCCGCTCCCGGGCACACTTGATCGCGTGGTTCTGCACCGCCTGGAAGCCAACCGTGCAAGTATTCCGCAGCCTGCTAGTGCGCCCAAGTGTCTGGGCACCGTTGACTACCTACCAGACCACCACAACCCAACCCGAAGACCCGAATTTCGGGTTGGGGGGGGTATGGGCTCCATGCGTGTTTTTTCGATGTTCCCGGACCCCCTCCCCACTGGAAATGGAGGGCAAATTGAGGCCTTCGGGTTGGGTTGGGGTGGTTTGGTGGGTGGTGAACCGTTGACCCGCTTCTCTGGGCACAGGACCTCCGGAGCTGGACCGGAGGCGGCCGCGTCGGGAAGGGCGCCCGTGAGCTCGATCGGGCAAAGGGCGCAGGGCCCCGAGCCCAACAACGAGAACCCTCGAGCCCACTCAGGCCAGCGACACGGGCCCTCGGCAACAGCATCGTGGGTCCCCCGGGTCGCGGCGAAGGCCCTGGAGGCACCGAGGCAGTCTACAGCTCTCCTGGTCTCCGGTGTCAGAGCTGCGCGTGGTGTCTGAAGCACGAGGGCGCGCGTCGCACGCGCCGGGCAGTCTCTCTTTGCGCGCACTCTCGGTGGACGTCGTGGCGAGAGGGGTGCCGGGGCACACAAAGGATTCTGGGGCACTCTCGTTCGAGGTCGTGGGCCCGCCCTACGATGGCCCCGAACTCGACGCCAGCCTGGTCTTTGCGCTGCTCGGCAGGTTTGGGCAGGTGTCGGTCTTCGGCACATCTTAGGGTCTTGGAGGAGGAGGAACTGGTGGTGTCGTTCTCCGGATAGGCCTGCCTTCGGCCGTGACGTGGAGGAGCCACTGCCAGCTGGTCCAGGAAAACTCTGAACGCGAACACGACGGAGGGATCACAACGATCAGCTACGCCAGCGACGGGGAAAGAGACTACTATTTCAACGACAAAAGTATCAACATTCAACTGCAGACGCCTCGCCTACTCGAAGTGCTACAAGACGTCCCGTGCTTCAAGCACATCGTGATGACAGGCTGCGCCCAAACCTCGGTGTGCACTCGACGTGGTGCCACGCATGCGATGCAGTCCACGTGGTGGAAGCTGGCTTGCTTCATAAGACGTGGTGCAACTTCAGTGGTGCAGGCTACGTTGACTACCTACCAGACCACCCCAACCCAACCCGAAGACCCGAATTTCGGGTTGGGGGGGAAGGGTTCCACACGTGTTTTTTCGATGTTTCCCGACCCCCCCCCCACTGGAAATCGAGGGTAAATCTGAGCCTTCGGGTTGGGTTGGGGTGGTTTGGTGGGTGGTGATACGTGGTGCAAGCTATGCTGCGCAAGCCACGTGGTGCACTCGGCCGGGCTCGACTCGTCGGGCCTGGGCTCTTGGGCGCGGCCGGGCCCCAGGGGCCCAGGGGCGGAGAGCGGGCCCGAGCACGAGGCCGGGCCGGGGCGGGGTCCCCCGAGGCCGGATATACGTCCGCTCCAGGGGCGCGGCTCGATCCTCATCCTTCTCCTCGAGCCTCGATCCTCCTCCTCCTCGATCCTCGATGCTCCTCGATGCTTCTCCCCTCCTGTTTCCACTCCTCCTCTGTCTCCTGCTCCCCCTCCATCCCGAGTGGCAACGTCAGGGGGGCACAGGCAGCACCAGTCTGCACGTGCATGCACCAAGACCGAAGGCACGGCTGGCCCCGTCTCGCGGGCACCGTGGCCTCTCCACCGGCTGCTGGCCTCCACGGCGGCACCCACGCGAGACAGAAGGATGGGACAGGGCCCCGTGCATCCTCGAGGCAGGCCGAGGCCAGCGGAGGCTTCAGAACCAGGACACTTCCGATCGCGAAGAGGGGCGGGGTCTTTCTCGAGGCTCACCTGCCTCGCCGCGGCGCTGGGCCCGTGAGCGTTGGCGAAGGGAGCTGCTGATCCAAACAACGACGGTGACGAGAGCGAGCAGCACCGTGCCAGACAAAATTGCAGTGGCGCTGGCTGCAGAGGCCATGATGATGACGGATGCCCTTTTTTAACCAGCGCTGCAGGTCAAAAGTGGCAGAGGCTGCTGATGTGAGAGGCTGCGGCGCGAACGTCCTATGGAACCAGGGGGGTCGGGCCCCGAGATCTTCCCTTTAGGCTCCAGGTTCACTCGCACGCCACGCCCGCAGTCAAAGTGGCATCGCAGGCGCTTCCGTTGGAGGAGAAGTTATGAGCTGTTGATGGGGGTAGCAACAGAGGAGAAAAACGAAGAGAAATGTGTTCAAAGCGGATGTTGCTCAAGAATAGGGACGAGGTCGATGAGTGGCTTCGAGCGCAGTGCGGTGACAAGCGCCCCTGTAGCACAGGTCGCGTGCCAGAAGCTGCTGCCTCGCTCTCTGTCTCTTTCTCATATTGTTATTTCTCTCTCTCTCTCTCTCTCTCTGTTTATAGTTTATAAAGATACGATGCAGCATAGAGGACTCAGGCTCAATGTGTCGAGCACTGCGCGCTGGACTACGTACTCTGGGCAACTAGTTTGCCTTTGGCTCTGAGTCTGGGCCGGAGTCTGGTCCGAGTCCAAGGCTGTGTCTGAATCTCGATCTGAATCAAGGTCTGACTGAGTGTTGGTCTCAATCTGAACCTGAATCTGGGTCTGCTTTCTCTGATACAGGTCAACGACTGGATCTGTGACTGAGCCTGGGTCCGAATTCGTGGATCTGGATCTGACTGCGCGTCAAGGCCTGAAGATGTGAATGAGTCTGAGTCTGGGTGTGAATGTGAATTCGGGCTTGATTCGAGGTGTAAGTCTCGATAGGCGATGCACCCATGTACAGGGATGCTGAGAATTGCTTTGAAAGCGGTCAGCTGACTTTTGCAAGAGCACACCAGTCACCCCCGCCATGCCGAGTGTCGCCTTGAACGTTGCGAGCTGCTTCTTGCAGCAGAACAGCAGTCATCACGTCATCACCGCCATGATGTGAGAACGCTCGGGTCGGGAAAGCCCCATCACGACGAGGAATCGACTGGAACACACGTGATACCGACCACCCACGGAATACTGCGCGGGAGAGTAATAACGTGGGGCGGCTGGTCAAAAGGTGTTACGACTAGAACCATGGGAGAGAGGGTACTTGCAGGTTTCACCATGTTTACGGCGGGTTTGGGGAAACCAAAAGGTACCGATATTGCTACTCCCTGGGCCCCCCCCTAGGGTGCGTTCTAACCAGGATTTCGAGGCGAATCCAGCGGAGGCGACGAGTTTCTCCCAGGAAGCCGAAAAAAGGGAAAACGGCCGAAGGGTAGCGGTATGGGTACCTTTTCCTCCTATAGGGTTCACGTCGCGATGACGCGCTCTGACATCGCGTGGACTGATCACCACTGCAAGGTCGCGATCTTCCAACATTGCAGAAATTGTTCGATGTCGGCCGACCTCAAGTCACCGGCGGCGTTCACCCGTGAACGCCAGCGGTGGGGCCGCAGAAACGTCGACACGACCACAAGCCTGCCGTGCTCGTGAAGGCACCGGCCAAGGGCTCGTACTCGCCGCCCAGTGCAAGCCAGACCCTGTTATCCTCGCCATTCTGCTTCGCCTCGCAATCATCATTCCTCTCTTTCACCCTCAACGGCCAGCTGCGTTCGACTGCAGTGGCCGTTGCCACGCGCAGGGGTGACGCAAGGCTGCGAGATCAAGAACGCTTGATGGTGCCATCCACGACGGATGTGAGCGCAGAAACTCCAGGGCGCCCCTGAGATCTGGCCGATCGGCCACGGCGGGAGACCCCATCGGCCCATCGGGCAGGCCGCATCGACGTGTGCTGTGACCAATCGGACACGGCGGGAGATCTAATCGGCCAATGGCCATCGCCCCAGCCAATCAGCCAGGGCGCGGGATATGGTGTATTAGCCGAGCCCTCGCCCGCAGGCAGCTCCCCGAGCGGGGCGCAGGGAGCTGCGGGGGCGTCGGCGCCGATTTCGTCGACTTCAAACAGGCACAGCACACAGCCCGACGTGGGCCACGAAGGCTGCTCGAATATGTACAGCCGAATTATGGCATTAGAAGAAAAAGAAAAGCAATAACCACAAACTGTCTGAGATCCGCGCGGATCTCGTTGTATCAGCGCTGGAATGACCCCCCTGGCGGCGCCTCCGGCGTCGCCCCACGCGCGCCAGAGTGGGGGGTCCAACGCCGATCGGAAAAAACAGCGCGGACCTCCGAAAGTGTATGCAGATGCTGCTTTTCTCCTATGAGGCAGGTAGTCCTCCTCAGACAATTGTCGTGCAAACTTATTCAAACGGAGTTATGGATCGCCCGACGAGGGCTCGATGACTGATCCATGGGCCGCTTCTGAATCGAACCAGGACACGCGCAGCCTCTGAAATGCCCCGACCCCGACCCCCTTCAGAACGACGCGGGAGGGGTCGCACCGCCCCAGGAGGAAAAAAAGGCTTCGGACCCGATCGATCCTCGAGACCACGCCCGGCCAGAAATCCTGAGCCACAGAAACTGACTTGGCGTGCCCGGAGACATGGGCACAGAGAATACAGTCGGGGCGTTGACCTCAGGGACCCTAAAGAAGGACCGAGGCCCCTTTTTTCCATAAGTTAAACTTCGATCTCCGATCGAAGACATAAGGAACACCTGAGGCAAAAGCTGCGAAACACTTAAGGAACGCGGAGCCCCTCCCCAACCAAAAGGGTTCCTTCTTCAGGGCCCCGACGGTACAGCAAATGCGGACACGACGCCGAGCAGCAGGTGCTGCCCAGCACCCTCTGCGGCCGCCCCGGGGGCAGGCGACGCTCCCGCGGAGGTGGACCTCCGCCCGCGGCCACACCGACGGCGCGAGCCCCGTTCCGAGACGGACGGGGGCACTGCTGCCGGTCGTCGCCCCCACGTCGGCGAGACGCGCCGCGGGGGGGGGGTGCGAAGTGGGACGGAGCAGGCCTCCTCGGGAGGCGGCGGGGCCTCTCGGACGCCCTCGCGCCGCCCGAGGAGCTGCCCGCGGCTCCGAGGAAGACCCGGGAAGCCTCTCGGGAAGGCCCGAGGCTTGCCGAGCCCTCTGGGAACAAGCTCGCCCCGCCTCGCTTCCCCCCCCCCCTTGGCCCGCCGCCGATCACTGTCTCCGCACCCAGAGTCGGGGAGACGCAAGACTCGGGTGCGGGGGACTCGGGTCGGCCCGGCGGGGCCCCATCGTGCAAATGGCGAGACCCGCTCCGAAATGTGGCGCGAGCTCCCGCTGCGGACATCCCCCGAGAATCGGACCGCCAAAATCCGGGACGCGCCCGTCAGAAGACTGCGGCGAGCCCGAGCTCCGGCTCACTCGAGACTTGCGTTTCCCCGACAGGGGGCAGGAAAAGCAGCTCCCTTCAAACGGAGCCCGGACGACGCAAAACGCGGACGCGAGGTCGCCTGACACTAGGCGCTCCCCGGCCCGCCGCCGCTGCTCGTCTGAGCGCACCTGCCCCCCCCCCCCCAGTGCCCCCCTCGCCTCCTGCCACCCCAAACATCGGGGGCGCGCAGACATGGCTCAGCGATCCATGGATTTGGCGCGCGGTCGCCAAATCCATGGATCGGGGGAGGCGCCCTCCCCGAAATGCGGCCGGTGCCGCCTCGCTCGGCGGCGGAAGTCCGCGATGTCCCATGGAAACGGGACCCGTCGCTAATCCGCGCCCCCTCGATCCACGTTTGCGATCGCCTGAAAACGCCCCCCCGCTCCCGCTGCCCCCCTCGGCGGTTCAGACATGGGACCCCCCGAGAGACGGGCGAGCTGCACCAGCGATGAGCCACGGGGGCGACCGAAGTGCGAAGTGGCCGGCGTGCAGGAGAGGGGGGGGCTGGACAGCGGGGCGGCCACGGGAGCGCTGAGCAGGGAACGGCGGCATCCCCCCCCCAGGTCCCCATCTCGGAGCCGCCTGGGCCCCCCCCCCCCCCTGCCTTCCTGGGCGGCTCCAAACAAAAAATGAGGCCCCGCGGGATGGGGCCCTGTGGGCGAGGGGCCAGAGGAGGAGGAGGAGGAGGAGGAGGAGGAGGAGGAGGAGGAGGAGGACGAGGAGGAGGAGGAGGAGGACGAGGAGGAGGAGGAGGAGGGAGGAGGAGGAGGAGGAGGAGGAGGGAGGGTGGAGGAGAGGAGGAGGAGGAGGAGGAGGAGGAGGAGGAGGAGGAGGAGGAGGAGGTGCGAATTCAGCCTGGGACCCTTCCTGCCCTTAGAGGGCCCCATCCCCCAGGGCCCCATCTTCGGGCCGCCGACGGCCGCCCCCGAGCGTGTGGCCCTTCACCATAGGGGGGCGCACCGGCGCGGGCCAACGCCACTGCGGGTCCACCGAGGCCACGTCGCGGACCCTGCACGGCCAACCGCACAGGTCCGGCCGAGGGAGGAAGGAAGGGCGGGGCTGGCTCCAGAGGAGGAGGAGGAGGAGGAGGAGGAAGAGGAGGAGGAGGAGGAGGACGAGGAGGAGGAGGAGGAGGAGCCTTCCAACCTCGGGTCGGCCAGAGGAGCTCGAGGGATTGACTGGCCCCCGTTGGCGCTGGCCCCCGCCACGCGCGCCGCGATCGCCTCGCGCGCGCCGGCGCCCCCGGGGGGGGGGCCCGGCCCCGCTGCGCCCACGAGGCTCGGGCGCTCACTCGGGGATCCGCGCGCACCGCTCGAGCGCGCGGGGCTCCTCGTGGCACCAGTCGTCGTCGTCGAGGTCGTCCTCGGCCCAGGACAGCGCCCGCTCGGTGCCCTGTCGGGACATCGGGGCGGCGGTGCTGGCGTCGCTGAACTGGCGCTCTCGCCCGTGGGGCTTCAGCTCCGGGGTCGTCTGCGGGCGGATGGGCCTCGCTTCGCACAGCTTCTGGTTGTCCCAGGCCTCCACCGCCTGCAGGTTCAGCTCCCTGGACCAAGCACCTCTGGCTGCAGCCTCGGTGATAGCGTCGTAGTGCTTCTGGATAGACCACGCCGCTTCACTGTCCGCGGCCTTCTGGTTCAACTCCTTCGACCATGTGACAGTCTGGGCTGCCGTGATGGCGTCGCAGTGCTTCTCGAGCTGTGCCTCCATCGCGCTCGAATCCAAGTCCTTGGACCAACAGCTTCCAGCTGGGACTGCGGTGGTGGCATCCATGGAGTTCGCGGCCTCGATGCTCATGGCCTTCCTGTTCAGCTCCCGAGACCACGCAGTTCCAGCAGGCACTGCTGTGATCGCGTCATGATGTTTCCGCATGATGGTGCTCCCAGCCTGGTCCTTCTCCATCTCCATGCCCTTCCGGTTCAGTTCACGAGACCACGCCCCGTCCCAGCCGCCGCGGCTCGAGGTGCTCCTAGCCTCAGCTCCCTTGGCGTTCAGCTCGCGCGACCACACCGACCCTGGAGGTGGCGTGGCGACCTCGTTCGAGTGCCCCTGCATGGTTTTTGCCAGCATCGTCTCCAGCGCCCTAGCATTGAGGTCCCTTGACCAAGTGGCCCCCGGTGGCGAACGGGTGATGGCGTCGTAGTGCTGCATGACGGGGGAGGCGACCTCTGCCGCCCTTGCGTTGAGGTCCCTTGACCAAGTGGCCCCCGGTGGCGAACGGGTGATGGCGTCGTAGTGCTGCATGACGGGGGAGGCGACCTCTGCCGCCCTTGCGTTGAGGTCCCTTGACCAAGTGGCCCCCGGTGGCGAACGGGTGATGGCGTCGTAGTGCTGCATGACGGGGGAGGCGACCTCTGCCGCCCTTGCGTTGAGGTCCCTTGACCAAGTGGCCCCCGGTGGCGAACGGGTGATGGCGTCGTAGTGCTGCATGACGGGGGAGGCGACCTCTGCTGCCCTTGCGTTGAGCTCCCTCGACCATGCAACGCCCGGAGGGACCATGGTGGCCTGCACAGAAAAAAACGACGGCACACAAGCAACCTCTGGGAGGCCCGCGCGGACCCGTGGAAACTTAACGGTCAGGAGCTCTCGTTCAGCGCGTCGAAGCCCGCGGCGGCGTCCCTGGGCGACACGCTATGCCTTGCGAGCGGATAGCGTGCCGCTCCGCTCTGCGGGGGGGGGGGCTGGACAAGGCCCGGGAAACGGCAGGGCCGTTTTTTCACCGTTTCTGAAAAAGTGCCCCTTGAAAATGGAAACGGCAAAAAAAACGGCGACCGGAAACGGCAACAGAAACGGCTCCAAAATTGGAACCGGGGAGCAGGAATCCGTAAAAGAACGGCGACGGAACCGGAAAAAGAACGGCGTCGGAACCGGCAAAAAAACGGCAAAACGGAACCGGTAAAAAAAAACGGCCCTGTCATTTCCAGGGCCCGCTGAGGGCTGGACAAGGCCCGGGAAGGTCACGCTTGGGGACTGGGGGCGTGGTCAGCCCGCCGCGCCGCAGCGTGGTGGGCCAGCACCGGCGGCGCGGCACACGCTGCGCAGCCCTGACTCCTGATCCGCCCTACTTTGGGCGATTTCGAAAGTAGGGCGGAAATTTCCGCCCTACTTTTGAGGCCCCTTTGAGCGTCGATTTCCGCCCTTGAGGCTCCTTTGGCGTCGATTTCCGATACAATTTTAGGTCGGAAAATCATCCAAAGTACGGCGGATCAGGAGCCAGGGAGGCGCTCCCGACCGTGCGTTCCCGCCGGCGCCTCTGCTTCGGAGGTCCGCGCGGGTTTCTCCTGGATCGGCGCCGGAGGCGCCGCCAGCGGCGCCCAGCGCCGATCCAAGAGCTGCTCGCGGACCTCCGGAAGCTGATGTTCGTGATTGAGTATCGATTTCGACTTCTTCTTCTTCTTCTTCTTATTCTTTTTCTTCTTCTTCTTTTTCTTCTTCTTCTTCTTATTATTATGATGTGTCCTTCTTTCTTCTTCATCTTTTTATTTTTATTATTATTATTACTATTATTATTATTATCATTATTCTTATTATTCCCCGACTCTTCGTCGAGTTGTAAATTCTTTCTTCTTCGACTCTTCTCCGCTTGAGCATCGCTTGCCCGATCCCTGTCCCCACTGACGTGGCCTGGGTCCCGCTGCCCGATGCACCGCCACGGGTGGAGATCTGTGCTGCTCCCCTCGGGCTACGAGGGGCCTATCCCCAACTGGGGTGATTGGGATGCTGGGGATCGGGATGGGGATTGGGGTGGGCATAGTGATCTCGGTTACACGATACTGACCGATGGCCCATAGGGGAGACCGAAAAGTATCCCAAGGGGCCCGCCCCCGCCCCCGGTCGCGAAACCCAGCCCAGGTGACTGCTGCATACCCCTCTCGGTGTAGCACTCTGTGTGTTTACCGGGTGGACTGCACGTCTACCAACATGGCGCGATTGGTGAACACACGGTTCGGTGTAAACGCAGAGTCGTGTCCTGACAGGTTTTGGGGCATCCACCGACGCTGCCCCCAGTGCCCTGGCATCGTCGGCGGGGTCCGGGCCGCGTGGGGGCCCGCGGAATCGGCTGGCCATCCCCCGAAGAGGGCCCGCGCCGCCGCCGTCATCGGGACAACGCCGCTGCGGCTGCCAAGTAGATCGCCACGAACACCATCCTGCGATACCCAGCTTTCAGGGCCCCTGGCGGCCAGAAAAGGCACTCGTGTATATCCGTTGTGCTCCGAGCGGTGGCGACGAGGGCCTCCCAGGAGGCCCAACGAGGCGGAGGCGAGGGAAGGGCAGCAGTGTGGGTGCGTACCTTGCCCTCCCCTGATCCCGACGATACCGACCGGTGGCCTCATCGTAGTGCTGCATGAGGCGGCCCTCGGCCAGCACGTCCACGCCCTCCGCGTTAAGCCCGCGGGACCAGCCGGCACCACGCCCGCGCGCGGCCGCGGCGCCGCAGCGCTCCTCGGCGAGCGCTCCCGTGCTCCCGCCCGCGGCGGCCGTCCTCGGGGATCGGAGGAGCAGCCCGGCCGCCGCTGGTGGAGGCCTTCCAGATGGGGGTTGAAGCAGATGGGGTCGGAGGATCGCGCTGCATCGCCGATGCATCGCCGATGCTTTGGCGGTGCATCGGCGATGCCAGAGCGGAGCAGATCAGGCTCCGCATCGGCGACGCATCGGCGATGCGGCGCAGTCCCGCGACCCCATCAGCTCGGAACCCATGTGGGAGGCCTGGATTTAGGGAGGCGGGGGGCGGGACGGGTCAGACCCAAGCACGCAAGCCAACGCTATCGCCTCGGATTCAACGACCAGGGGACCCTGGTCGCTCCGGCGAAGGGTCGCTCTTACGCGTAGCCGATCCACAGAGAGACATCCACCTGGGAGGAGGAGGAGGAGGAGGAGGAGGAGGAGGAGGAGGAGGAGGAGGAGGAGGAGGAGCAGGAGAAGGAGGACCAGGAACAGAAGGAGGAGGAGGAGGAGGAGGAGCAGGAGAAGGAGGGCCAGGAACAGAAGGAGGAGGAGCAGGAGAAGGAGGAGGAGCAGCAGGAGGAGAAGGAGGAGGAGCAGGAGGAGGAGCAGGAGGAGGAGCAGGAGGAGGAGGAGCAGCAGGAGCAGCAGGAGGAGGAGGAGGGTGGTTGGCGCCGTCGGAGCCGCCCGAGCACTGACCTGACCAGGCAGCCGTGGAGCTGCCGCCTCATGGGCCACCACGAGGCAGGGCAGCGCTCGGGCCTCCTGGGCGTCTCCCGACGGGGCTCGGCCGACCCGGACTCGGCCACGCGAAAGAACGGCCTCAGCCGACCCGAACTCGGCCGACCCGACCCGAACTCGGCCGACCCGAACTCGGCCACTCGACCCGAATCTATCTGGGAAGCTGTATTGCAAAGGTGCTGCGCCGGAGAATGATCTTGCCCTGTATTGCAGGTGATGCGCTGCGCGCGAACATCCAGCAATACACACTTGCGCCCTTAAGGTATGGCACGCCCCAAGTGTATTGCGACCCAAAGCATCTACGGCACCTTGTCTATTGCACCACCACCCTGTCGCTGGACCCCCTTTTGGGTCAACCCGATTAGGCGTAAGTCGGGCCTGTCCCCCTACAGGGGGATTTTCGACGAAAAATAAATAAATACCCCAAAATAATCCAACAATAATCCAAAAATAGTCCGGGGACTATTTGTTTGAGTATTGTTGTATCTTTTTGGGGTATTGCTGGTTTTTTATTTCGTCGAGAATCTCCCAGTACATCGCCGTGACGAAAGTTTCTTTCAATCTGCCTTTTGAAATGACGCGCTCCTGCGGAGCAGTCCGGAATAGTGCGCGCAATCGCTTCCCGCTCGATAATTTATATGGTTTGGCGCGGAGTAGTTTCCGATCCCGCTTTGGGGTACAGAGTTACTAACGTCTCCGGGATCGGAAACTACTCCGCCGAATGATCCCAGCCAGCATCATGTCATGTTAGGAATCTTGAGAGGGATGGGAGAGATCTTCATCATAGCAAATTGAAGGAACTTTTGTCACGGCTGTGTAGGGAGACGCGCCCGACATAAGATTAGGCAAGAGTGCGGTGTGCGGCTCGCGGGGGTGCGCGGCGCGGACCGCCAGCCTCCGCCGCGCCGGCGACTGCCATCGCAACGCACCCAGCGATCCGAGGGCCACAGCGGGCCTGCACCAAAGGCCACTCCGGTGAGGGGCCACTCCTACGACGTGTCGCAGAAGGGGCCCAAACCCCCGACGTCGTGACTTTCTCACGACGTCGACCCCCAGAAAATCTGGACCCCTTCCCTGGGACCGGTTTCTCGTCCCGAGTCGGCCTTTCCCTGACTCCGGATCCGCCCTACTTTGTGGAAATTCGTAAGTAGGGTTTGGAATTTCCGCCTTACTTTTCAAGCCCCGCTGATGCCAATTTCCGCCCTACTTTTCTGTTGCTGTTTCCGCCCTACTTCTGTGGATTTCCGCCCTACTGTATGTTGGGTGCAGAAATTTCCGCCCTACTTTTTCGGCCTCTCATCGGTGGATTTCCGACGCAATTTTAAGATGGAAAAAAGCCAGAGAGTATGGCGGATCCGGAGTCGGGGTTGACGGTCCTGAGGCCCGGTAAGGGCCCTTCGGAAGCCGAAAATGACGAGAAACCTCCCGTCGTGATTTTTCACAGCGCGAGGAGATCTGGGAACGCTGACCGGACCCGCTTCAGTGATCCTGGACTCCTGCTGGGGTTCAGCGAGCGGCACCACGAGAAGAGCCAGCGGGTGGCAGCGGACGTGGAGTGCTCCGCCCCCGCGCGAGGCCCGGGCTGCTCGACCAGCCCAGCGCCCTTGGCGTTCAGCTCGCGGCTCCAACCCGCCCCGAGCGAGGCGCCGGCGGAGGCCGCGCGGCTCTCGAGGCCCTCGCGCGCAAGGAGCTCGGCGCCCTTGGCGTTCTGCTCGCGGGACCAGGCCATGGCTGCCAGGCCGCCTGTCGGGGCAATCGCTGGCCTGCAGTGGAGGCCAGTCCACAAGAAACCTCCCACGAGAAACCCAACCCTGAGACCCCAGGACCCCAGGACGTCCATGGATTTTTGGTGCGGGAGCGTCACGCTTTCCATCGCAAAACCATCGAAGCCCAAGAAGCCCAGGGAAACCTGGAGGCAAGCAGGGTGTTTCTTGGCATGGGTCTCCACTGCACGCGGGTGCACCTGCAAGTCTCCGAAACCCTGAACTGGGACAAAAGGCAGCGGCCAGGCAGTGAACCCCGACGGTGTGAGGCTTCGTTTTCTCTCGGTGCACGATGCATGGACGGCGAAATGCACGATGACGGCGCGATGCCACCAGAAAGTAACCACGAAGGAACCACGAAGCGCAACATACCGAATCCTCGTGCTGTGCCGAATCACCACAGCAAGCAAAACACAGAGATGCGCAATACTCTGGTTGATTGTGCGACTTACATGTGCGTCGGAAACGCACCCTACACGATGCGACAAAGTGCGGCAATTTCTGCCTCCGAAAACGCAGGGCGGATATGTCCGCAAACGTGCAGCAGAAACGGAGTCGGTGGAATCCACAAGGCGAAATTCTGCATCAGAGGAGCTCGAAAAACAGGGTTAGGGGAACAAGAAGTGGCAGAAAAATAAAAACTCGGAGCTCCCCGCGGATTTCTCGGATCGGCGCTGGACCCCCCTGGCGCTCCGGCGCCGTCCCTGGCGCGCTCCGCGCGCCAGGGAGGGGGGTCCACCGCCGATCCGAGGAATCCGCGCGGAGCTCCGAGTTTTTATGTTTCTGCCACTTCTTGTTCCCCTAAGTGAGTATCGTTTAACCGATCCCCATCCCCACCAGCGTGGGCTGGGCCCCACTGGCCGATTTACCCTTAGATGGGGATATAAGCCGTATACTTCGGATTTCGAAGGGTGTATCCCCAACTGGGGGTGTAATTTGGTGGGGGTCTCGAAGGGGATGAGCATGGGGATGGGGATCGGTTAAACGATACTGACTAAGGCTGGGAATTCCCGCGCTCCTCGCGAAACCGCCCAGGGTGCAGACGCCGGTGCCGCCAGCAGGAGCACCGAGCAGGGGAGCGAAGGGGTGGGTGTCCGGCCACGGCAGGCCTTGGGCCACGAACAGGCTCCCCGAGCCAGACTGAAGGAGCGACCCGAAAAACCATACACCCTGCGAAATGCTTAAGAAATCATGGGTTAAGAAATTCATCGTCTCAGATCTGGAATAAAAACCCAACGTTTCTATCAAAATCTTAAGATTTACATTGAAACGTTAAGAATAATCGAGACTCTGGCCGAAAACTCAAGTTTTCTTAAGCATCGCCTAAGGTGTAGCCTTAGGTCGGGTAAGTACGTCCCCCTACAGGCACATGTTGGACGAAAAAACAAAAAAATGCCGAAGAATGGCCAAACCATGCTCAAGCAATCGTCCCCAAACTATGCTTGACTACTTTTTAGGAATACTCCAAAATGCGCCAAAAATACCCCCAAAAATGCCCAAGAATGGCCAAACCATGCTCAAACAATCGTCCCCACAACTATTTTTGATTATGTTGGAATACTCCTCCTGTAGAGGGACAGGCCCGACTTAACCATAGCCCCATTCGGTGAGCAACGTGGTCCTTGGTTCAGCCTCATCCCTGCACGGCGGATCCGACGTCCCGGTAGGCAGCAGGGGGATGAACGGGGGGAAACTAAAAAGCACCGAGACAGCTACTCCCCGGACCTCTCCCGGGGTGCGTTCCGACCAGGATTTCGAGGCGAATCCAGCGGTGGCGACGAGGGGCTCCCAGGAGGCCCGAAAAGGGAAAAACGATGGAAGGGTACCGGTACAGTGGAGGCCCGACCACAAAAACCTTCCACAAGGAACCAAACTTGATTTTTGGCGTGGGGGCGCCACCATTTCCACGGCAAAACCATCAAAACCCAAGAAACCCCGGCACCCTGGAGGCAAGCAGGGTGCTTTTTAGCAAGGGCCTCCACTTTGTGGGCACCTTTTCCTCCTCCGAGAGAGAGCCGACCGACGAGAGGCGGGCCAGCCTCCAAGATCTCCCTCATGAGCAGGTGCCTTCGGAGCGCCCGCTGGATGCGGGCTCGGAGCGCAGCGCAGGCCGCGTGGGCGGGGGGTGGGGGGGCGGAGAGGAGGGGGAGGGGGCGGGCGCAGCGGAGGCTGAGGCGGGGGAGAGTGAAGCGAAAGGGGCGGGCGAAGGTCAGGGGGGGAGACGAGGAATGGGCGGGGTGGAGGGGGGGATGAGGAGGAGGAGGAGGAGGAGGAGGAGGAGGAGGAGGAGGAGGAGGAGGAGGAGGAGGAGGAGGAGGAGGAGGCGGGAGAGGAGGACGAGGAGGAGGGGGGGGGAGGAGGAGGAGGAGGAAGAGGAGGAGGAGAGGAGGAGAGAAGGAGGAGGAGGAGGAGGAGGAAGAGGAGGGGGAGAGGAGGAGGAGGAGGAGGAGGAGGAGGAGGAGGAGGAGGAGGAGGAGGAGGAGAAGAAGAAGGAGAAATGGAGGAGCAGGAGGAGGAGGAGGAGGAGGAGGAGGAGGAGGAGGAGGAGGAGGAGGAGGAGGAGGAGGAGGAAGGGGGGGAGGCGGAGGGGGGAGGGGGAGGGGGGAGGGGGAGGGGGAGGGAGGGAGGGAGTAAGGGGCGCAAGAGCTTCGGAATGCTGGACTTTCCGCAGAGGGAGCTTGGGTCCTCCTCCGCACCTTCGCCCAGGGCGCGGTGACGCACCACCTTCGCGCCGCGTACAACTACAACTTAGCGTGGACTGACACTTTCGATGGCGCTGTGTTCGGATGCCTCGAAGACCTCCTGCAGGCCCCTCTGGACGACACGCAAAGACTGCAGGCCACCTTGCGGCTGGTCGACGGGGGTGTGCCCTCCCTTCAGCCAAGGAGACAGCGCCGGCCGCGTACGCTGCGAGCTGGGCGTTTGTCATGCAGGACGTGGCCCTCGGCGCTGGGTTCGCTACTTGGGAGGACTTTCGGGCCCGCTGTCCCTTGACGTTCCAATCGATGCGGGAGGCGGAGGCGGCGCTGCGAACGCAGGGAGCTATGGGGAACGACCCGTTCGAGTGGCTGGACTGTTTCCAGGAACCGCAACTGAAGCTGCAGGGGCAGTGGGGCAGAGCGAGGTCCTCGCCGTGGAGAGGGAACGCTTGCTGGGAACGTTGGGAGAGGACGACCGACTCCACTTCCGCGGAACAGGAGGCCCAGGCGCCGGGGGATTCCTGCTCCCCCGTGAGGAGGGTGACCTGCCCATGCAGGATAAGCATTTCCTTGCGGCGTGCAAGAAGCGCTTGCGGGTGCCGGTGTGCCCGCCCGGAGCTCGCTGCCAGCACAAATACGCCGACACAGGGCTGCCGTGCAACGATCCCTTGGACGCGCGTGGGTGGCATGCCTGCAGCTGCCCTGTGGGGGGGTCCCGCGCAGGCCGCCACGACAGCATGAGGGACTGGCACGCCCCCACGCACGCACGCCTCACGGGCTACTACGCGGTCAAGGAGCAGCGAGTTCCTGGTTGGGACAGGATTGACCCGCAGACGGGCGTCATGGAGGAGGCGAAGTTGGACGTTTGTGCACGAGACCCCAGCACAGGTCAGCCTGTGTATGTGGATTGGAGCGTAATCTGCGAATGCAGCACCTACGGCCCTCGCAGGCGCGCTCGATCCAACAGAGACGGGGTCGCGGCGGCGCAGACGGTCCACGAGAAGCGCGAGCGCTACCCTCCGCAGCACGGGAACTTGGCGCCCTTAGTGTTCGAGTCGGGCGGCCGCCCGTCCGACACAGCCGCCGAGTTCATCCAGTCGTACGGCCACGGGCTCGACGACGCTGACCGGGCCGTGGTCCTCGGAACGCTGTGGAGGCAAATCAGCAGACGCCTGCAGACTGGCAACGCCGAGATGCTGTGAGTGCGCTCGGACGCTAGGCCGGCAGCTACCTGGACACCAACCCTGCTGCCCACGGTGCTGTTCGGACAGGCACCAGGACAATGACCACCGCTACCGCGGCCACCACCAGCGGCCGCACCGACCACCACGGCAACCTTGGCGACGACAACCGCCACCAACTGCCGTAACAACCACCACGGTTTTTGCGGCCACCGCCACGACCGCCTTGGCCGCCCCCAGCACGGCCAACAACGCAACCACCGCAGTCCGGCCGCCTCCAGCTCTACTACCACCAGCCTGGCTATAGCCAGGGCCGCCACGACCGCCTTTCCGACCACCAGCACGGACCGACCACCAGCACTCCGACCACCACAACGACCACCGGCACGACCACCACTACCGCCCCTGCCCCCCGCCCCTTTCCGCTCTCTTCCCTCTCCCTTGCTGGGCCGCCCTTGCTGCAGCAATCGCCTCCCGCCCCTTCGCCTACCCCTCCTTCGCCTCCCAGTAATAACAAGTGGCACGCGTGCCCTGGCTCTTGCACAAAGGAGCTGCTGGAGGCAGGAAGCTTTCGCCTCCTTCCTCCAGGAGTTCACTTTTTGTGGCCAGGGCCGGGGGGGGGAGGCTGGGTCCAGGACACCAGGGCCAGCGGGGCCAGGGAGGTCAGGACCAGGACCAGTGGCTCCCCAAGAGCCTGGGAAGCCTGGGCGGGGATGGGGCAGGGGGGGGGGCAGGGGGACGAACGACACGACACGACAGGAAAATAAAGGTGTCCGAGGCCCAGGGGGGCTGCCCTGGGGAGCCTGGACGGGAGGCCCAGGGGGGCTGCCCTGGGGGGCCTGGACGGGGGAGGGCAGGGGGGGGGCAGGGGGACGAACGACACGACACGACACGAAAATAAAGATGTCCGAGCTCTAGAGCACAGCTGTGCAAGAGAATTAATGTATAATTCATGCGGGGCCCCTCGCCGAATGCGGCGATGTCACTGGCGCGAGGGAGCGATCGGATCGACCATTCCGGCCGCCCCAGAGATCCCGTTCGCGGGTGCCGGTCCCTTCTGGGAGCCCCTGGGGCCGTGGCGGCGGGAGGGAGGGAGGGAGGGAGGGAGGGAGGGAGGGACGGAGGGAGGGAGGATGAGGAGGATGAGGAGGAGGAGGAAGAGGAGGAGGAGGAGGAGGACCAGGAGGAGGTGGCACGCGCCTCGCCACCGCACGCGGCCTGGGGGGGGGGGCTGCAGGGTCTCCCAAGCGCGGCGGTGGCCCCGCGAGGCTCCGCGCTGGCGGCTCATCCCCGCCCTCTGGCCGCCGAGACCTCGGCGCCCGTCTCCTCGCCCCTGCGCGCCAAC